AAACGCTGTTTTCTCAAAAACACAATCATGTATAAACATGCTGCTCACATATTATTGTAGCCCAGTTTGTGCTGATTACAGTATTATCAGACTTTAGCCATTAATATATTTAAAAGCAACTGAAAAAAGCACAAATGTCAGGGCATGTCAAAATTTGTCCAGGGCCCCAAAACACCCTCAGACCCCAGAGGGTTAAAGGCCGTTTTCCATTCATCCCCTTCACGGATTCTAACTAGATGGTACGCATTTCGTAGGTCTAATTTAGTAAAAATGGTGGCCCCCTGAAGTAAGTCAAATGCTGTGGACATCAGTGGCAAAGGATAACGATTACAGATGGTAATTTTATTAAGGCCCCTGTAATCAATACATGGTCGTAGACCGCCATCTTTCTTGCTGACAAAGAAGAATCCAGCCCCTGCTGGAGAAGTAGATGGATGAATGAACCCAGAAGCCAAGGCATCTCTTATATAAGTATCCATAGCCTTACGTTCAGGGAGCGAAAGAGAAAAGATCCGTCCCCGAGGAGGGCTGGTACCAGGTAAAAGTTCTATGGCACAGTCATAGGGTCTGTAGGGCGGGAGGGCGGATGCTCTTTTCTTACTAAAAACCTCCTTCAGGTCCAGATACTCAGCAGGAACATGGGTTAGCTCGGAGGGATCTGGGGCTTTGGGCTTGAGGGAAGGACTAGCAAAAAGGCATGTAGCATGGCAAGTGGGCCCCCATTCTAAGATAGTGCCAGTGAGCCAGTCAATATGGGGATTATGGTGGTTTAGCCAAGGGAACCCCAGGACCACAGGAAATTCAGGGGAATTAATAAGATGCAGGGATATTTCCTCCTGGTGATTCTCCACTTTAAGGCGTATCGGTGAAGTAGTGGAAGTCACAGTGCCTGGACCAAGAGGGCGGCCATCCAACTCGGTGACAGACAGAGGGGTGTCAAGAATGACTCTCGGAATCTTGAGTTGTTCAGTAAGTCTGGCATCTATGAAGTTGCCTGCTGCACCAGAATCCACCAAGGCTTGACAAGAGTATACCTGTTCTCCCCAAGTAATGGTGCTGGGAAGGTAGACACCCCCGCTGGGGAACTTGGGAGTAAAAGTTGTTCCCGTCACAGCCCTCAGTCTGCTGAACAGGACGGCTCTTTTCCCAGCAACTCCGGACACGAGGCTCTGAAGTGACCAGGTTTGCCGCAGTAGATACAACACCTTTCTCTTCTGCGACGGTCCCTTTCAGCCTGAGATAGACGAGCTCGTCCTACTTGCATCAGTTCAGGTACCTGAGGAAGAGGTGTAGATGGGATCCCAGTCGAACTTGCCAGCTCATATGTCTTCTGGAGACTAGAACAGTCTCTGTGGCGTTCCCGAAGGCGGTTGTCCAGGCATATGGCCTGAGAGATTAGGAGGTCTAGGTCATCAGGACAGTCTATAGAAGCTAAAGTGTCTTTCAAAACCTCGGACAGGCCGTTCAGAAAAGCAGAAATGAGTGCCGGCTCATTCCAGCCACTCTCCGCTGCAAGGGTGCGAAAGGAAATGGCATAGTCCGCAACACTGTTCCTGCCCTGACGGAGCTGCAGCAGTTGCTTGGCTGCCTCCTGACCTGATGAAGATTGGTCGAAAACCTTCAGCATGTTGTCAGTGAAATTTTTGAAGTTGGCACATTCAGGACCTTGCTTTTTCCAAATAGCTGTTGCCCAGGCCAGGGCTTTGCCAGTTAGCAGCGTGATAATGTAGGCCATCTTGGACCTATCAGAAGGGTAAGTCAAAGGTTGTAGTTCAAATGTCAGTTGACACTGGGTTAAAAAGCCCTGGCATTTTCCCAGAGCTCCATCATACCTTTGGGGGGCTGGGAGGCGGGGCTCAGCCCCTAGAAGTTGCGCTGGAGCTGGGGGATCCTGTGGGACAGGCGTAGTAGGCAGAGCGGAGGGGGAAGCTGGTGGCGCCAAAGTTCTTACAGTTTCAACTAGCTGTTGAAGGATTTGGTCATGGTGTGCTAGTGTGTCCTGCTGGTTAGACAAGGCTTGGCGGTGTGAATCCATGGTGGAGCCAAAACTATTCAAGGCAACCATGATACGCTCAAATTCTGTGGCTGACGCTCTGCCAGAGGACATGGATGCTTCTGCTGAGTCTGTCATGGCTGCTTCTGCTGAGTCTGTCATGGCTAAGTCTTTCTGTCACGGTGTGGGGATTGAACCCGGGTCTCTGGAGTGGTAGTCCAACACCGAGCCACTAGACTATTGGAGAATACAGACTCAAGTGCAGAGCAAAACAGGTAGTGTCCATAAGATTTATTAAAAGGTTCTAAAGGCCAACACAAAAAGCACCAAAAATAAGTCCAAGCATGAAGGTAAACAAATCCAAAGCGAAAATCCAAAAATCATAACACAGAGGCAGGCAGAGGTTCAGGAGATCAGGCAAACAAATCCAAAAATCGTTAACACAGAGGCAGGCAGAGGTTCAGGAGATCAGGCAAATAAATCCAAAGGGAAAATCCAAAAATCATTAACAGAGAGGCAGGCAGAAAATTCAGGAGACCAGGTAATCCAAACAGTAACAAAAGGCACAGAGTTTGCAACACAAGGAAGACAAAGACTTAGCAAAGACATGGACTTGAGACAGGGTTTAAATACACAAGCTAATAGATCACATGACAGGGAGACAATGAGGTACAGGTGAGCAAGGTAATTACAAGTCAACAACATAGAGAGTCATTTGGCGACCTCTGGTTGTCAAAACTGTTCATTAGTGACAATTCATAGATGAGATTGTGCTGCCTCACAGTTTTCCCACTTTGATCCATACACAGACAGGGTTGACACATTTTTGCATGACAGGACATCCACACAGAAACCATATGAAAAGCTATGGAGACTCTGCCGCCAACTCCTCCTCCTCTCACATGGGCAAGCCTCTGTAGAGCGTGGGTTTTCAATCAACCCTCAAGTTGAGGATGATAACCTTTCAGAAGATTCGTACGTGGCACAGAGGTGCATTTTGGACCACCTCAGGGCTGTGGGTGGCACCAAGAATGTCACAATTGACAAACCGCTATTGATGTCAGTTGGTGGTGCCCGACAGAGATACATCACACATCTTGAGGATATGAGAAGAAAGAGAAATGATGTGGAAAAAAACACTAAGAGAAAATATGTGCTGGATGAAATTGAGGAACTTAAAACGAAGAAAAAAAGATGACAAAGATGCACTTGAGACCTCTGCTGACAAATTGGCTCTCGAGGCAGAGAAAACAGGCAAGCTAACTCTAATTGCCAAATCTAACAGCTTAAGGAAGGGAGCAAAGGAAAAGAAAGCAGCAATGGAGGAAGTGGAAAAATCGCTCGATGAGAAATTGAATGTTTGCTTGCACAAGTTGAGTGCTTGTGTTTCTAGTGCTTATACTGTGAAACTAAATATTTTCAAGAAACATAAAACTGAATTATCATTAATAATCATGTAAACCCATGAGGCAAGAAAAGCATATTCATATGTCTTAAAACTTCGGGTTACATGATCCTAAGCTCTTTTCAATAAAATCCATGCAAAAGTTAATATCAGATAATTTTTAGAATACAATATAGGATATACCGAATATTCTTCAGTTTTATGCAAAACAGAAATACGACAAATAGAATATCAGATCTCTGTCATATGGCCAAAAATAAATGCAAAAAAATGCTTTTTTGCATAGTTGTGTTTGACACATGAAAACTGTAACAGTGTATCTTAACAAGGTAACACGATGTAACTTGAAATGTGTCCCCACATTAAGTCCTTGAATTTGAGGTTATTGGACCTGGAAAGTCCTTGAAAGGTCCTTGAATTTGAAGTTAACCAAGGTGTGGGAACCCTGAATAAAGGAGTTCCCCTTCAGGAACTCGAGCTGCGTTGAAACGCTATGGGAACGCCTTCAGCGTGACCGCGCTCTGAATTACATGTCTAATCAGTCTAATTAATGGCGAGACGTCACAGGCGGGGTGACGGAACGACCCGGAAGCATAAAAGCCCGAGCGGCATGCGCCGCGCTAGCTTTCTGTCATTCAGCAAGCGCTCTATGTCATATTGTCTGTCATATTGTTTGTCTATTTTGTGTTGTCGGCGGCATGTCTAAGGCCAAAGACAAAACGAAACACCGGAAGGGCGAGATTAGCGGACAGCGTTTTAGGCTGT